ATAACCACGGTACAGAACAGAACAGAATAGAGGTCACAAAAGTGACAGTCAGAACAGAGGTACGGATTCAAGAGGTAGCTCATACGAATTCTAGAGGTGGCTCCCACAATAGTGTAGCACTTAGTTCCGTACAGCACTTTGGTCCGCACAAAACAGAAGTACAGATTCAAGAGGTGGCTCGTACGGATTCTAGAAGTGGCTCCCATTATAGTGTAGCACTTAGTTCCGCACAGCACTTTGGTCCGCACAAAATAGAGGTCAATGGATCCATGACAGACAGAGGACCACAAAGTGGTCAAACAGAGGCCAATGGTTATTTAAATCCCCCAAGGTGTGGGACTTCCGTGGTGGTACTTACAAAACATAATTGTATATAAGGTTATAGTCAAATATTCTTTAAAATATAAGCAAACATATCCATGGATTTCCTTTTAGGCAAATAGCGTTCAGAAATAAAACCACGTAACTGAAATGTTTATAGTTTATAATAATTTATAAAACATAACTTGTATAAAATAGATTTTGGTAAGTTAAAACATACATAAAATACATTTTAGTAACTTAAGATATAATATAACTCACCTTAACTTTAATACCTTACTCTTTCTTTCCACTATCAAAAACTCTTTCAACTTCCTTATCGTTTTTTTTCCTTTTTCTTCTCTTTCTTTCCTTTCTTTCTCTTTTTTTTCTTCTTTCTTTTCTTTTCTTCTTTTCTTTCCTCTCCTCTCCAGTGAACGTCTCCTCCTTTTATAGGGAGGAGAGACGAGTACGTGACCTCCACGTGGCTCAGACGTCGCTTTCGTTCAAATTTAATTCATAATTATATAGATTCATTTTTATCCTTAATAGATATTTAAGCTAATTATTTTTTGACCCAATATTTTAATATAATTATATAAATTAATTAATTTTTAATTAAATTACACTTTATCATATATCAACAAAAAATAAATTATTTATTTTACTACCACACCCATTATTATTATTATTTATATTATCTATATTATTATTATTTATATTTCGACCCCTAAACTTTTAAATAATTATATTATTTTACAAAATTACACATAATAATATACAATAAATTATATATTTTTCGAACTGAGATTAAATAATATTAGTATAAGTTCTACAGAATAATTAAAAACCTGGATTGTTACACTTTCACCAAGGACACAAAAGCCAACTTAAAACCACAACCCACACCCCCTAACCAGATTCACCAATGTATTCATCCATTTTTCTCAAAACAATCTTTTCAATACATGATAATAAATCATTTGAATGCGTGCAATGCGTGAGTTAAATGGTTTCAATCAACTTAGTCTTAATGTAATTTCTACAATAAACAATACTATTCTCCATCAATAGCCAAAACCGTTATCTCTATTCAAGATATATATCAAAAGTAACAATACATATAAAAGAATCCAACTTGTCATCACCATTATGTCAAAAAATATTATATTTCCACAATTTCCATTTTTAAGCCAAAACTTCCATAACTATAAATTCTACAACTCAACCACCATTTCTCAAAGATTTTGAGAAAAATGAAAGGAAAGTTCTTTTAAAGATCCATTTCTTTAAACTTTCAACCACACTCACTCCCATGAGTCAACAAAAAAAAAAGAGTTTTGGAAACATCAAGGAAACCTCTTTTTTAAGCTTTTTAGAATACATTTCAAACCAAACCAAAGCCCCAAAAATGTTAAGCTACTCAGGTAACACATAATAAAGGTAAATAACACATAAGTCATTAAAGAAATCCCTACCTCAAAGCTCAAGGAGCAACCAAAGAACAACCGAAAACCAACAACGGCGAAAAGCAAAAATTTTCAGATTAAAACGAGCCCCAATCTTGCTCTACATAAAAGCCTTAGGGACTAGGGGTAGGAGATGTGTGTAACTAGATCAAAACCAAGGGTTTAGACCTTAAAAAGGCAAAAATGGCGTCTGCAGAAGTTTTGGAGAAGAAAGGAATCAAAAACAGATATTTTTGCACTTTACTGATATTTATAGGCAAAGAACAATTGTGGGTGCGAACATAATCTCGCGAGTGCAACATGGGGAAATTCTATTTCCACCCGCCTGATAAACTCAAGGAACACACTTAATGACAATTATATCCTAATTAAAAATTACTATAATAGCCATTGATCAACACTCCTAATATTATATATATAAATTCTCTATACACATCTTTTAGGAATAAAAATATCTCAATATACACTTTTTGAAACAAAAAAATTAAACCCTAATTTTTCTTTTGTGATCACTTTGCTTCTCATACACTTTGGACTCCTCTCTGTTATTTGCAAACAAAACATCTCTCATATTGCTTTAATCTTTAAGTTTATACTCGATTATTAACATCGTTTAATTATTAGTTCAACAATTTTTACTTGATTTTAATATGGAAGAGTTGCAAACTTATGGAAGTTCAAACTCAAGCAATGGTGATAGCAAAATCAGTGATGAAAAGGTAAAATCGTGTAGTATTTTTTTTGTTTTTTTGCGTTTTTTAGTCGGAAACTCAGTGCCGAATTTTTTAAATTAATTCGGAAATCAACCACCAAAATAACATGAATATTTCGTTACATTAATTAGGATGTTTTAAATTTATTTCAGTTTTTAAGGTCCGAATAAAATTAATATTTTCGGCCATAGAGTTCCGAAATTTGTTGTTATTTTTGTTTTTTTTAGGGCCGAATGTTTTTATTTATTTTGTCTTTGTACAACCGAATTACATTTTTTCCCCGTCCTCTTTAGATGGCATGCACTGAAGAACCTGAGGTTCGATCGGATATTATGGTAGATTGTACTAGTCATTTTACAGCTAAACAAGTAACTTTTAACATAAAATTTGTAAGTTCATAAATCTGTATTAGTTAGTTTGTTTAGTTTGTTCTTATGAAAGTTGTGTGACATCGTATATAGGTTTTCGACAACAAAGATGAATTGCTTACTTGGGTACGTGACGTTGGAAGGATAAATGGCTTTGTTATTATTATAAGGACGTCGGACTATGGTGGCGGTCGTAAAAGACCAAGAATTTATCTTGCTTGTGAGCGGAGTGGAAAGTATAGATTGCGTACAAAGTTGAAAGATGGCTCAAAAGACTTATTGAGACAAACTGTTACGAAGAACTGCGAATGTCCATTTGATTTGAGAGCATTCAAGTTGAAAACAAACGATGAATGAACATTGAATGTAGTTTGCGAGCTGCATAATCATCCAGCTGCGGAGCATCTCCAAGGACATTCATATGCAGGGAGATTGTCAGCTAATGAAAAGTCGCTATTAGTAGATATGTCGAAGAGCCTAGTAAGATCAAAAGAGATACTCATTACACTCAAACAGAGGGATGCCTTTAATACGAGCACAATGAAGACAGTTTACAATGTACGACATCGATGTAGGGTTCTACAGAAAGCTAGTAGATCCCAGATGCAACAACTGTTTGGTGCATTAGCGAAACATAAGTACATTGAGCGTCATCGATGTGGGGAAGGCTTGACTGTCACGGACTTGTTTTGGGCACATCCAGTAAGTTTGGATTTGCTTCGTACATTCCCTCATGTGTTGATTATGGATTGCACATATAAGACGAATAGATATTGACTTCCTTTTCTTGAAATTGTGGGAGTGACATCAACTCATATGACATTCTCCGTGGCTATCGCATACTTGCAAACTGAGCGGGTTGATAATTATGCATGGGCGTTGCAAACATTGCGTGATCTTATGAATGACAGTGTTTTACTTGAAGTCATTGTCAGAGACAGAGAGCTTGCTTTGATGAATGCCATTGACAACTCCTTTCCGAATGCTCGACATTTGCTATGTCGTTGGCATATTAATAAGAATGTATTGACAAAATGCAAGAAAATGTTTGAGACAAAAGAAAAATGAGACAAGTTTAACACTGCATGGAACTATTTGATATTGTCATTGACTGAAGAGGAATACAATGATCACCTTGCAACACTACATAAGGATTTCAGTAATTATTTAGAGGCAATCAAGTATGTTACTGTGAGTTGGTTGAATCCGTATCAAGAAAAATTTATTGCGGTACATACAGACATGTGTATGCATTTTGGCAATGTTACAACCAATCGGTAAGATTTGTTTTTTTTTTAATTTATTATAAATCATATTGTTATTTTTAATTATTATGCTTGACTATTTTGGTTTACATCCATATGAACATGGTTGAGAGCGCTCATGCTAGATTGAAGAGGCAATTAGGTTCAAGTCAAACGACATTTGAGATTTCATTTGAAAAAATACATTGTCTACTTGAGTTGCGTATTCAAGTTAAAGCATCATTCAAGAAGAGTTTGACAACTGTGCAACATCAATTCAAACCTTCTCAATTCAGAGAGCCCTGGAGTAATGTGTCTATTTGTGCATTGGAGTACGTGTTGGCAGAGAGTAAAAGAGCAAATTCAATTGGAATTAATGTTGCAACATGTGGGTGTGTTCTTAGGCGCACACATGGTTTACCTTGTGTTCACGAGACTGTAGATTACATGAGACAAGGCCGTCCTATTCCACTCAGTAGTATACATGTACATTGGACGCGACTTACTATATGTATGCATAATCCGAAGGAACAGAAATTGGAATCGACTTGTATCCTAGAACTTGAGTTGATTCTGAAGCGGTTCAAAGAGTCTGATATTGCCACGCAATTGGATATGTTGAAGAAGTTGACGGAAATTGCAAATCCAGAGAGCACTTTTCTTATTGAGCCTGATGTGAAACCTAATCCACGTCAAGGACATAAAAAAATTGATATATTTTGTCGTTGTGACCCGTGTGCATTTGAATTGGTTGACGATGGGCATGATAACCAGAGCACATTAGCTTCCAGTTAGTCAAAGAAAAAGAGAGCTTCAAAAGTGCATGAGAAGAAGCGGAATGTGAAGACAAAGACATATCGTACAAGAACAAGTTTACCGAGTGCATATCCTGGTGACTTTCCGCCTATGTTAATACCATTCATAAAGTTGATGAAGGATGTAGATGGTGATGGGAATTGTGGATTTAGAGCTATTACAGGTTTACTTGGTCTTGGAGAGAACGACTGGGTGCAAGTTAGGCGTGATCTGCTACTTGAATTGAATAATCACATAGATGAATACGTCGTACTATACGGGTCACATGAGAGGGTTAAAGAGTTGACACACATCCTTTCATATTTTGAAAATAACCTAGGCTTTGATCGTTGGATGACTATGCCTAACATGGGGCATCTTATTGCATCATTTTATAATGTAGTCTTGTACCACTTGTCATTGCAACAGTGTCTCACTTTCTTACCTTTGAGATCACCACCAGTAACCCTAGCTGATCGTTGCGAGATTACTATTGGATTTGTCAATGGAAATCATTTTGTGCAGGTATAAGTTATGAAAATAACCACACATTGTTGTCTAATATATGTGTAATTGCAAATTTTATGTATTTGGTAAAGATATGTCAGTTTTTGGATGTATGTGCAGGTATTTTTGGAAGCCGGTCATCTAGTTTCTCCCATTGCCGTGCTTTGGCGAGTTTACCATCACCCTTGTGCGTTAGAATGGGAGAATGCATATGTTAGCCGCATTCAAAAACTCAAAGACAACACAGGACCTAATGTAGTTACTCGAGAGACATTTGATGTAGTTGATATAGATTGATGTATTATAGAGTAGTAATGATGGCTTTAAGACATTAGTTTTTATGATTTACTAGCATAGAGTAACGAGGTAGATATCATTTTGCCATTTGATTTTGTAATAGTCAATTTTTTTTTAAAAAAAATAGAATATTATATGCGTTATAGTTCTCTATTTTATGGAATGGATGTCACATTATTTTTACATTGTCTGAACACAAAACGTAATGAAAATAATATTAACCAAGTGTAATTGCTGTTAAAAAGTAATAAGATTAAACAAGTATGTAAAATATATATATATATATATACTAAATAGTAGTTTAATCCATCCACACCATCACAAACTACATGTGTGTTTGTACATAATCCAAAAAATACATAATCCAAAGATAATAATAATATTTGTCTCCTTATACATCCACCAACACCATCAGAAACTACTTGTGCTAACATTATGAACTACTATTAACTACGTGACCGACAAGTGTAATGTGCTCCAAAACGATGTGCATTGGAAGAGCTGGGTGCAGAATGACCTTGAGTGGATGTGCTGGGCGTAGCTTCACTAATGTGCTGATCTTGAAGAAGTTGTTCGATTGCATCAATTGCGTAGTAAAGCCTATCAGGATGTTGAACATTGTCCTCATAGCCAGCCTCAACGAAAGGATGAGTAATCTGATATATCTGTGACATACGCTGCATTATGAGAACAAATATAACATTATGTACAAACTTGTAACAGTTTACATAAATAATTTACAATTTAAATGAAAAAAAGGATACCTGTGCGTCTTGGCTAGGATACTGATAATGATGGATATTTGGGTCCACTTCAGAACGACGCGCTGGGTTTTGTACATACATATAGGTAATGGTCTGGTACCAATTCATGTAACCAGGAACACAATCCCAAGGTTTCCGTACCGGTGTACTCCTCCTCCGATCAGATAACACATGGTTGTCCCATGCCTCCCAAATGATGTCCAAGTATGCATACATAACATTGGAGCTGTGGCTCCTCGAGAAACACGCATAGGGCCAAGTGGTGGATTAGGGATTGTCTGCACTCTGCCAAACTGTCTCAACACTCTATCAGGGTGATATGATTCAACTACTTCCAAACACTTTAGGCAACCGTGGTAGAACGTAACTGGATGACATGGATGGACATCTTTGCAACTCTGGTACGGATCCCAAATAACCAACAAACAATAACAATTGTAAGATATGACAACTGTAAATTTTGTATGATATAGAGTTTCAAATTTTGAAGGACTTTTCAACTTATATCATGTATACCCAACCTATCAAGCTCCTCTCGAAAAGCCTGCAACTGTGTCTCTTCACCAGACTCTCTCCGAGAAATCCAACGGTAAACATGTGGCATGTCTCGAGTATAATTCATATTCAAGTGTGGTCGGAATCCACGAAAGTGCTCATAAATCCATCCCTCAAGGAGTGTCATGTAACCAGCTATTTGTTTCTTATGATTGATAACAGTTATAACCAGTCATAAAATTCTTAAAATTTCTAGAACCTGATTATATTTTACTAGCATGTAAAAGAGCAGTATTTTGTAGTTTGCCCAAGATGAGATGTTATGGAGGAAAGCTACATAATTTGTATCCATAGTTTACTATGTATACATGACTTCTTTAACTTTGGATTTTGCTCAGTTAGTATGAAAATGGGGCTTGTCTTTTTCCTCTTTTCTGCATCTTTATTGAAACTTTTCAACTTTTTCCCAACCCAACTAATGAGTGACTTTCGTTCTTTCTTCCTTTTTTTTTTTTGTCATTAAATAAAATCTTGTGAGCTCTAACAAGGGGGATTAACAGAGAAAATAAATAAACTGGTCGTATCACATAAATTTAGTACCTGATAGGCCTGAATTACACACCGGATCATTGTATCTGAAAGCTCCCCATCTTTTCTTACATCAGGATGATACTGCTTCACCTACACTAGTCAACAAGATATTTAAATAAGTAAAAAATATGCATATATAAATTATAATTTGCGTAAGAAATAAATTGATGTATTATTGATTGATGATCTTTTGTGTTTACAATGAGTCCTATATATAGAAGATTAAAGGAGGTAGGTATGTAGTAGGTGGAGTAGTAGGTGGAGTAGGTGAAGTGGGTGGAGTAGGTTTAGTGGTAGGTTTTGGTAGGTGGAGTAGGTGAAGTGGGTGGAGTAGGTTTAGTGGTAGGTTTTGGTACATTTTAACAGCCCCCCGCAAACTCAAGGGGGATAGGAACTAACCAACTTGAGTTTGGAGAGACTAACAAAACAAGAAAATAGACGAATACATAAAATAAAAAAGGATAGGAGACACTGTATAGTCGTGTCAGACCGTTGTAGAAGACTGTATGGTTATGGCAGACCGATGTAGAAGACAAGTTATGGGGTCATGTCGGACCGGTGTAGAAGACAGTTTATGGGGTCATGTCGGACCGTTGTAGCAGACAATGTTGTGACAGTTGTTGTGACAGTTTACGGAGTCTTGCTGGACCCTTGTAGAAACTAACCGAAATCAATGTCGGGACAGTTTACAGAGTCTTGTCGGACCCATGAAGGAGCTAACCCTCAAAAGGTGCGCTCAATTTTTCAAAAGGCGTGCCATCAAAAGGCGTGCCCAATCCATAAAAAGGCGTGCCAGATATGATGGCGAGGCACGTGAGTGCCTTGGCTGGCGCGCCCGTTTGTCGTCTGGCGTCAAGTGGCGCGCGATACGCGTGGCTGCCTCGGCTATTTAACCAAGACGGAGGCGGGTGCTTCATGAAGAGGTCCATGGCTTACTTGAGACATTGGTTCCTCGCGTCCACGATCTCTCGAGGATGGTGATTCAAAGCTTCCTTCACGTCTAGATCGTAATAGGGATCGTATAGATTTACAGGATTTGAGGCCGAAAAGCTCAGATCTGCAGATCCGGCGATGTATAGTATCGAGGTATTAAGTAGCAGCGCGAGGTCAATGGCGACTCCGACGACTACAAGAGAGAGAGACAGAGAGAGAGAGAGAGAGAGAGAGAGAGAGAGGGTTTAAAGAGAGAAAGGGTTTGGTATGTGTGTGTGTGTGTATGTGTGTGTGTGTGTGTGAAAGAGAGAGGTCGATGACTAGATCGAGGTCAGCGATAGCGACCAAAGTGGTGGTGTCAGTGACGATGAAGGTAGAGAGAATAGAAAAGAGAGAGAGGCAGTTTGGGTTAGGGTTTAGATAGTTTGGTTGTTGTTGACAACGTAGCAGAGGCCGTGGAAAGAGATGGCAGAGACGACGATGGTAGTGGTGGAGTGGCGGAGGGTGAGCTGAGCTGCGGAGATGGAGAGGGAGAGAGAGATGTTGGAGAGAGAATGGTTTGGTTTGGAAACTTACATATATAAATAAATTGTTTGGTCGAGTTTTAACGTCTAAATCTTAAGAAGAAACCCAGTGGAGTGGGAAACACGGAGGCAACACCGGCAAGGGCCGCCCAGGACGGAGGCAAGAAGAAAAGACCGGCGGAATAGGCGAAAAAGGGAGGTCGGTGGGTGGCCGGCTGCAGAAAAGAAAACAAATCTTTGGGTGTTGTGTTTTGGTTGGTTTTTTATTTATTTATTTATTTATTTATTTATTTTTTGTAAAATTGTGATCGGGGTTGATCCCTGAGATGAATAAAAGATGGTTTGGTGTGCAAAGCTATATGGTATGAATAGAATTTGAAAAAGATTAAAAATAATGTGGAAAGAGAAATAAAGAAAGAAATAATAAGAATAAATTTGAAATCAAAATGAAAGAGGGGGAAATAAGGAAAGTGGTTCACGGTGGTTTCTGTGTTCCACTGTTTTGTGAAAATCGTAATGGTTTTTTTTTTTTTTTGTTGTGGGTTAATAATAATAATAATAATAATAAATAATAATTAAATATTAAAATAATATATTAAGGAGGAAAGCATGTGCGCTGGTGGATGAGTGTGATTGAAAAAAAAAAGAAAAGGAAAATAATGTGTCAAAATGAGTGGAGACAGATTGTTTAGAATATCGTCCAGGAAAGTGATAGGAGATATGAGGAGAGAGAGTGGGAACAAGCCCATGTGATGTGAGTGAAAAAGACAAAGAAAGTGGTATTTGTTGGAAGGAGAAACAAATTCAAACTTCTGTTAACAAATGCCTAGCTATGTGATGTCGCTTCTGTTAACAGATATATATATTCATACATTTCACATTCATCCCCATGGATATGTTGTGATCACAGCGATGGTACTCGAAACCCTCGGATCTGAGGAGTAATGCCACCAGGGCCACATGGCTCGAATCCATGGCCTGGAGAGAGAATCCAGTGGCGGAGCAGGCGAAGTACCGATAGATCTGGGAGAGGCGACAGATCCGACGAGCCTTCGCGGCGGAGACGACGACAGATCTAGAGAAGCTTGGAAGAAAAACCCAGACGGCCACGTGCTCTATCGGCGGCTAGTGTTTTGATGCTTCACGTCGACGGTATTGGAGATTGGAGAGATAGATCGATGAGATGGAGAAAGTTCGGCGATGAAATGGCACAGACAGGAACTCAGTACTGCGAGTCGCTACATATTTGCTGGCCGTGTTGGTTTTTCAGCTTCAAAGAGAGAGCTGGGTTTGGTCTTCTTTGAGTGGGCCTGTACCCAGATTTCCTGCTAAAACATTCAACATTGTTGGAAATCCTCTGATCTGTGGGTCAGAAAAAGATTGCTATGGAACCACATTGATGCCGATGTCCATGCCATTGAATAGCTCAGAAACTGGATCGCCTATTGAGAGACCAAAAAGTCACAAAGTTGCCCTTGCCTTGGGATTAGCCCTCGGTTTCATCTGTTTGCTCATCCTTGGTTTTGGGCTGCTGTTACAGTGGAGGCAAAGACAAAACCAACAGATCTTTTTTGATGTTAAGGATCGGCATCATGAGGAAGTTTCCCTCGGAAACTTGAGGAGGTTCCAATTCAGGGAACTTCAAGCTGCAACAGACAATTTCAGCAGCAAGAACATACTAGGGAAAGGTGGTTCACGGCAGCAAGAAATGTGGCAGCGGAGTGAAGGTATGTGTAGAGGTCCGGCGGGCGGCCAAGGCGAGGCTGCCGCCCGCCGGTGAAGCAGAATGATTAGGTTGTTAACTTAGCTCTGATACCATGTAAGAAATAAATTGATGTATTATTGATTGATGATCTTTTGTGTTTACAATGAGTCCTATATATAGAAGATTAAAGGAGGTAGGTATGTAGTAGGTGGAGTAGTAGGTGGAGTAGTAGGTGGAGTAGGTGAAGTGGGTGGAGTAGGTTTAGTGGTAGGTTTTGGTAGGTGGAGTAGGTGAAGTGGGTGGAGTAGGTTTAGTGGTAAGTTTTGGTACATTTTAACAATCTGTTCTGTCATTTATCAAATTCCACCTTCATAGCCTGCTTGAAAATTTCTCTCGCATCTTGTTTGGTGAGACTAAATAAGAGAGAATAAAAAAATTGTCTTAGGTTGTTTACCAAGATAATCTTTACAAATATCATTTCTCTTTATTTTTCTTTTGTACTAAGATAAACAAAGTTAACATTATGTTAATTTCTTTTTCTCTTAAAATTTCTTCATTTCTGGAGAGATTCAAAAAGTGAATTTTTAACTATTTCTTTCCATCCATTTCATCATGTTTAATTTCTTTTCTCTTCAAATCACCCAATCCAAACTTACTGTAACTTTTCAATCTACCAAAAACCCACTTCATATATTGTAAGTATTACCCCAAATCAACCAAAAAAATAGCAAAATTAAAATAAAAAACCAAAAAAAAAAAAGGGTATACAATCCTTGAATTGGTATCATGAGAAGGAAAGTGCACCTTGGTTCGAAAAGCAGCTTTGAGCTCGGCAGGAGAGCAGTTGGGGACGACGCCGAGGACTTCGTAAGCAGAAGAAGTAGAGAGAATATCATCCCCAATTCTCTTACTTGTACAATTCAGTGTGAACAGAGACTTTGAAGGAGGTGGGAAAATATGAAGTGGGTTCTTCTTGTGGGTCAAGGGGCCAATACGCCATGGAAAGAAGCAGGAGGTGGAGGGGAAATTGTGACCGTTGTGATTCGTAACGGTTTGTGCGAAGAGGGAAAGAGGGTTTGGAACAGGCTACTGTGTGGAGGAGACAAACGGGCCATCTCTCTCTACAACTCTATGGTTCTGCTTCTTACATTTGCACTTGTCTGTTGATTTATGTATATATTCTGAAAAATATCTTGCGGTACGACGTGATCAAATCTCAGACCAATCACAAACTCACATGCTCACATGTTTTTTCATCTTTTTCCAATCACTGGCTATCTTCAACGTTAAACTTTGGCTTCGTTTCAGAAGCCAAAAAGACAGGTTTTTTTTATTTTTTATTATTATTATCGAAAAAAAAAGTTTTTTTAGCTTAATAAGACAAAATATTACATTCAACCCATAATTATTATATTCTTTCTCTTACAAAAAAAATCAAAAAAGCTAAAAAAGTCAAAAGTCTTTCCAAAATCAGACTTCTTAGCCCCAGGTTAAAATAGCCAAAAAAAATCAAAAAGCCAACCCACATGATACGTTGTTTGGAGTGTTCTAAATAAAAGCACTTTTTATCTTTTTGGACTAAAAAGTTTGAGGAAAAAAATATGGATGTTTGGGTTAATTTTTTTACTTTTTATGAAAAAATGTGTATTAAAAAATTGTATAAAGAAGTGTGTAGGAGAAGATTAGAGATGTGTGTTGTACGGCCGTACAATCTACGCAGCTGAATTGATGATAAGAAATTATTGGC